TGCCGATTAATCGGCACCGATATTTGATTCCCGGAACTATCGGTTATCGGCAAGTACGGACCAACCTAGCTATCGGTATCGGTAAAATTCAATATCGGTCGACCTCTAACACTGACATAACTGTACGACATATCTATATGAGACAGCAGCAGCCAGCGATCTTCACACCCCAGAGCACAGTTACGGTCACACCTACACCCTGTTTTCACTAAGTAACCATTCCGCTTACCGACCTGGGGTATGTTTCCTAAAAGCTCCTGTTACAAATTACATAGTTAGAACTGTTTAGTTGCATGGTTCCAACTATATAAGTTGCTAATGTTTTTAGCAACTATGCTTTTGGGAAACGTACCCCAATCATTGGACCAGAACTTGGTCGCTAAACAAAAAGAGGGCGTATATACTTACTACCCAGATAAACAGTTTTAAACATTTTCTTTGATGGCCTAATCCCTTTGTACAGTGCAGGTATAATGCCTATGAAGTCCTGGCCCCCTGAATCTGCTATGCCTCTCGGACGCCCCCATGTGGAACACACCTGCAGGTGCGCGGTTAGCTCCCGGTACTTCTGTATGGTCTGCTGGAAGTCCGCAACAGTCTCCTGGGCTGCCTCCACTCTCTTTTCTGCCTCCCGCACCTGCGCCACACCCAGGTCCAGCTGCTCCCGCAGCTCCAGCTCCGTCTCCCGCGCGTTTTCCTGCAGCTCGTCGTTCATCTCATTAATGGCCTCCTGTAAAACAGAGAGGAGATGCGGCTCAGCCACTGGGGGGGCAGGGCGAACCCGAGAGCAGATGCTGCATCGTGACGGAATTTAGTGATGGAAGGAGAAAGTCTGAAAAAAGGACTATAATTATTGGTGTGTTTTCAGTCACCAGTAGGTTTTGCCCCGTTCTAATCCAACCAAAAACAGCTATAAAACTCAGTTATTTAAAGCAATTTCTAATAGTTTCCTTCTTCAAAGTATATTTGCTCCATCCATTCATTCATTATCCAGCCACCTACTGCCAGCAACATCAATACATCCATGTAACAACACATATGCAACATATGTACTAATTATGCTAGAATACTGCGTTAAGTAATAACTCAACAAAATGCAATTATATTTCACTTAATCATATAACAGCACCCACATTTTGCTATACTCACATTTTGTAATAGCTTGAATGCAGTATGCAATAAATTTCCCTGCATTTTGTAATAAAATATTACATATTGTGGCGGTTATTACAAAATGCAAGAGTGGCACTTTTTAATGATGAAAATGTAATACTGTGTATCATGTAATAAACATCCAAAATGTATGTCTTCATTGACACTTTGTTGAGTTATTACAAAATGCGGTGTTATTACACAATGCGTGTAATGAAGTTTCTGAGCAAAATAATGAAGGGGAGGAGGGTAATCCACTCACCAAGTCAGTGACCGTCTCCCGTAGCTCCCGCACTTTCTCCTCCAGGTCCAAGTTCCTCTCTGTCAAGGTCTCCACCATCTCCTCCGCCCCCAAGGCGGCGTCGACCTGTTCCAATGACCGCATAATGAACGCTAAGACCGATTGTCAAAAACCCCTCAAAGGGCCAGTCTGGCAAACCCAGTTTAAAACCTTTGACTCAGAAAGTGAGCGTCATCCGTCGTACAACTTGCATGTACATTTTTACTAATGAAATTTATTTATTCTTTGTTATGTTTTTACAAGTCAAAAAGCTCCTTCTGCTTTCTGTGACAGTGTAGTATACATTTCACTGTAGAGGACGGCAAAAGCAATCAACAGGAAGTCACAGTGTAATTGTAGCGAGAGCACAAGAAGGTGACATTCAGGGAGTCCACCCCTGATTTACTATTCATCCAATTCACACCCCAGCAGCGCTCAGTCTCCCTAAATACTGATTAATTCAGGTACCGAACTGCACCTTTTTACTCTTTGCTATATTTCTGCTATATTTAATAACTTTTCTATATTACACAATCAGGGCTGCAGCAAGGATTTCTAAAATTCCAAGGTGAAAAGTGTTCCTAGGTGTGCCTGTAATGGGCTGTGGTTACTGAGGACTTTACCTTGGTGTCCTCAATGGTAGAGATGGGAATGTACATAATTATATTCTATTACTTTCCCCTGCTTTTCTTCTTTTTCTCTGTAAAGCACCTTGAATTCCCACCATGTATAGAACGTGATACATAAATTTTGTCATGTATTACCCCATATTCACATTCAACTTTCAAATTAACTCCAAGTTCAGCAGGAATGTTAACGTCATATAACACATGCTTCAGTATCATACGGATGGGTAACATGCTGTCAAAAGGTCTAAGAGACTGAAAAAATTGAATTGGAACTGAATTGGAATGTATGTGTCTAATGAATTATATGAATACATAAAATATATATTATATTGAAAATGCACAACTGCTCTGAGAAATTTTAAGACAATTTTCCATTAAATATAAAGGCTAGACTTTTCAACATGAGCCTTGCAGATCGAACCTGTTCCTTCAGCTCATCAATGGTCTTCTCAGCCTGCTTCATCTCCTCTAGCAGCTTCTCTCTCTGCTGCCGTAGCGTCTCCAGCTCAGAGTTCTTCTTCTCCATCTGCTTCTGTAGCTTCACATGCTCCTGTTTTTCTGAAGCTGACAGATCTCGCATCCTATATATGGCACAATGACAGCACTATGATTACCCAGTTCCTCTGCATATACACCTTGCACATATGCATACATCAGGGTTTGCACTTTTTCTAGTTAGGTAGACAAGGGGGTATAGTGAACTCATAGCCAGACAAAGGCAGATGTTTGACTGTGGCAGGCAAAATTCTTCACAAACTAGGTTGCAATCATCAGATCCCATGGACAACACCAGGAACCAGCAGAGAGAAGGGCAAGATCACGGAGCTGCCTGTTCACCTGACCAAAGCCTCCTTCAGTCTGCCGTTCTGCTCCTCCAGCTGCTTCACATGGTAGCTGGACGCTGCTCCATCGGAGCCTATGGGGCGCACAGCGTTACGTCAGAATCTCAGCTATCGTATGCATTATCGTGTGATAATCAATTAAAAAGTCAATCGCTCAATCAAATCGCTGACTCAATCAAATAACTTGGTTATTTACTATCCATTGATCACTATCCATCATCACTTTATCTATCCATCCATTCGTCCATCAATCCATCCATCTAAACATGCTGAAACACTACATAGACAAGTGAAAAAACAGAACTTGATATAATGGCTGACATTCTATTTAACAATAACCTTGCTGTCTCTCTATAGTCTGAGACTTTACAGTATGATCACAAACTTCAAGAAGACAGAATAAATTAAACAGGGTTGAATGGTTACTTTGCATGTTGATTAAAATGCTTCAGTGAGAGATTTGTTATGATAAACTGCACCTTGGCACCATATTTAGTGGGTCCCACTGATGGGAGCCCATAGAGAAAAACACTCACCTTTCTCCTCTATCTCATGCTTGAGAATTTCAAGGTCCATGGTGAGCTCCTCCACCTTCTCCTTCAGGGAGTCCACCTCCTGCTGCAGTGACTCCGCCCGCTCCTCCGCCATCTCCTTGTCCAGCGTGGCCATCTCGATGGCATCTGCCGTGTCGGCCATTTCCTCCATGTAGCGGTCCTTAGCCTCTAGGGCCTCTTTCGCCTCCTGAAGTGGGAGAAGGGAGGACATCCAGCCATCAGTCCGGGAACCATAATGTCCAGCATTAAATGTAATGTACAATTCACTCACCATGTTCAGATGCTGTGTGGTTAGGCATTAGAATGGCTAAGATGTGTGATCTAAGGGATGGTGAATGTGGTGTGATGTTTGATGCTAGGAATGGTGGGTCCAGCGACTCAGAAGCAGTGAGAGTCAGCACGCCCAAATCCGAATCAATGGTATTCTACCAAAAAAGTGTGTTTCTCTCAAGTGAAGGGGGAGACTCTGCCCTTACTGAAGGAATTTAACTGCCTCCGGCACTTGTTCACAAGCGATAAGAGATTCACGCATAAACCGGTTTGTTCACTGCCGTTTTGTCAGCACTGAGGACGTCCATGGTGTTGTGATATCTAAGCTGGTACAGAAGTCTCCATCCTCACTAATGGCCATGAACAAGCGGCCAAAATCAAGTCTCTTCCAGGGAAGCAGCACGAGGTGAGGGGGGACCTTAAAATATTGAAGGTGCTCCTTCAGATCAGAAGGACATAAGCTTTGCTGATTTGGGGCATCTTGTACTAATGTCTCCTGGCTGGCTCTCAGACTCATTGGGAGTTAGGGTTGGGCGAGATATCCATAAAATATCGTACTGTCATTATGAACATTGATATCATGCTGAATATCTTGAGTGTCATGGTATAGCCTAAACACTTATCTTGCATAATTAACAATTAAAATGTAGTATTTTTACACAAAAGACATCAACGTGTGTTATACCTATTACATGCTAAATAACTATTAGTAAAAGAATTGGTCATCATCATAATCAGAATCTGCATATAAATTTTTGAATATTATGATAAATATCAATATTGTGAAAGAAGTGTAATATCACTTTTGGGCCCAACGTAAGACCCAACACATGCTGGAGGAAGTAAATCTCCCAGCTAGCTTGAGAAACCCCACAGCAAGCTAAAAACTGACCCCCAAAAAAGAAGGTCTCTGGCCCCTTCGGAATACTCACCCTAAACAGGAAAAGTGATGAAGATGGATGAAAAATTGATATATTACATAATGCTTTATCATTTGTATTGATACTGTGTTATTGTATACTGAGAAGGGTTGGTGCCCCATCCTGGGCTGTTCCCTGCCTTGGACTCCCACTCCGCAACCCTGAATTGGCCAAGCAGTTACAGAAAATGGATGGATGAATGTTATTTTGTAAGTTTTTTCTCCTTGCTTGGTATACGTCTGCGTCCCTCTTTTTGGCAAGTATTGCTTGGTAATTTACTAAAATCTAAAATGAGGACTTGGATAAGGCGTCTTTAATTGATTGACTAATTGATTGACTCCTTGTTAATTTTCTAGGTTTGCTGCTTGAACATCTGCATGGGCCAAGTTTACAGGATGTTCATTAAGAACCAGCACCACACACACCCATGTCAGGACACTCAGTTTAGGTTTCATGAGAATATGGGCTCCAGTATAATGGTATGAAAACACGTATCGTTAAAGGAGAACCGGCCAGGATTAAAACGCTACGGTAAATGAGCGAAGTCCATGTGAAGAAACAAAGTGTAATTATGCAAAATTAAAGAAATGTGGTGTTTCGCATTCGGTATGTCATTTTCCTTTTGCATGGTAGAGATAGATACAGTGAAAATTAGTTGCATTTTGTTGAGTTATCACTTAATGCAGTATTCTAATGTAAATTTACTTATTAACTAATGTAATCCAGTTAGTGTCAGAAAGTGACCTTGTCACCTTTCTTCTGCCACTCAACGTGTCTACGTGGGACAGACATTACTGAGCAAGGCTTTGGTGAGACACTACAGCACACTGAAATTTAAAGTTAGGTAGGTATACCTTACTTAATATGTTAGCCTTGACCTACAATCAGTCTTTACGTTTCTATGCTTCTGCTTATATATGAAACGTCACCAGGAAAATCTAAAGGCTTGATAGTAGCTTAATTAGAGATATATTCCAATCAAGCTCTCGGAAAAGAGGCTTTATGTGCAAAAAATAATGCCACGGTTATAATTACGGAGCTTCACACTTTCATTAATTTATACAGGCTGAGCTACAGTATACAGGTTGAGGAAATCAGACTTAAGACTTTGCTTGGGAATATGACAGCAGAAGTTTACGTCTGTGAGCCCAGCTTCCAAGGTCTGCTACATATGTCCCCGATTCATTTAAAATATGCTAACCACACATAAACATAAACATGTCTTTTCAGTTGGTAAACTGGGAATGCATGTACAATTGCATCCATCCATCCATCCATTTTCTGAAACTGCTCGTCATATTCAGGGTTGCGAGGGGTCTGGAGTCTATCCCTATGGGTGCAAGGCAGGGAACAACCCAGGATGGGCCGCGAACCCATTACAGGCAAGTAATTAGAAAATTATTTTTATTTCTAGAAATAGGAAGTAATAAAAACAGAAAAGAAAACACTGTTAGAAATGGTGTCTAATCATGTGGGTTTCTGCAGAGCTCTGAGGAGCACGGCTGAGGAAGCCCGAGGGAGGCAGGAGGTGACGCGCAGGAGGTGACGCGGAGCCCGCTACCTTTCTGGCCTCCTTAAGCTGCTTCTGCAGCTCGGCCTGCTGCTCCTGCATCTTGCTCTTCCACTCCTGCAGCTGCTCCAGCTGGATCTTGTACTTCTCCAGCTCCTTCAGCTTAGCCTTGTCCTCATTGCGCTTCATACGCAGGGTCTCCAGCTTCTCCTCCAGGTCCTTCACCTGAGCCCTGAGTGCCTCCTCCTCCTGGGAGAGGAAGGGAGGGAGATGGTAAAAGCGAGAGAGGCAAGGGAAGGAGAGGAGAAAAAAGGAAGGGGCAACAAAAGCATGGTGCCACTTTACAGTAAGGCTACCCATATAAAGGGTTATGAATGGTGTATTATCTGGTTATTAATTAGGTTGTAACACTGTAAATTATTAAGACAATTTTAAACAAGTTATAACAGTTTTCTTTTTATTAATGAGTTACTACCATTTACAAGGCAAAAGGGAGCCTTATTGTAAAGTGGTGCCCACAGCATTGTGAGATGTCATTGCCATTCTTCTATCTCAGTCCTCTCCTCTTAGTTCTGAACCATGCCCCTTCACCCTGACTCAGAAGGAGAAGGTAAAATGGGGGGATCTTAACACAGCGCAGCACCAGACACCATGCAAACCATGATCAAACCTGCTATACTGTTTGCAGTATGGATGCCAAGTTACTTGGCAGTTAGCCTAAAGTATGGCCATAACCATAGGACTCAGCAGACCTTGGCTTTGTGTTGCTGATGGAATTTGGCCCTGAGAGAAAAAGAGATGGTGGCCACTGGTTAAACCCATTTCCAACCAGTTACATTTACGTTTAAACTGGGCTAAAGCAGGCAACAATTTACAGCATGGAGTAGTTGCTCTGAAAAGATACTGGCGGGGGGGGGGG